TAGTAAGGAAGTGGAATAGTTTGGGAAGTGATGTAGTGGAGGCAGGATCCATACACAGCTATAAGCAGAGGTATGATAAAGCTCACGGTTCAGGGAGAGTGATCTGGTAGCGACCAGTGAAGAGGCGGGGCCAGAAGCTTGGACTCGACTCCTGCAACCTCAACTATGTGAGTACAACTAGGTGAGTACACACATTCACACACACACACACACACACACACACACACACACACACACACACACACACACACACACACACACACACACACACTCACTCACTCACTCACACACACACACACACACACACACAAACACACACACACACACAAACACACACACACACACACACACACACACACACACACACACACACACACACACACACACACACACACACACACACACTCACTCACTCACACACACACACACACATACACACACCTCGACATACTAGCCGAGGTGGCCAGGAGAGCACACATGGGGGGAGCAAAGTTACTAGTTATGGGTGATTTCAATCACAAGGAGATTGACTGGGAAAACCTGGAGCCCATGGGGGTCTCGAAACATGGAGAGCCAAGATGATGGATGTGGTACTGGAAAACCTCATGCATCAACATGTTAGAGACACTACCAGAGAGAGAGGAGAGGATGAACCAGCAAGACTGGACCTTTTATTCACCTTGAGTAGTTCTGACATCGAGGATATCATGTATGAAAGGCCCCTGGGAGCTAGTGATCATGTGGTTCTGTGCTTCGACTACATAGTTGAGCTCCAAGTGGAGAGAGCAGCAGGAATAGGGTGGGAAAAACCAAACTACAAAAGGGGGAACTACTCAGGCTTGAGTTACTTCTTTCAAGACATTCAGTGGGAGAGGGAACTGGCAGGAAAACCAGTACAAGAAATGATGGACTATGTCGCAACAAAATGCAAGGACGCAAAGGAGAGGTTTGTTCCCAAGGGAAACATAGCATCGAAAGTCAAGACTGACCCGAAGCTGTTGTACAGCCACATCAGAAGGAAAACAACAGTCAAGGACCAGGTAATCAGACTGAGGAAGGGTGATGGGGAATTCACAAGAAACGACCGGGAGGTATGTCAGGAGCTCAACACGAGATTTAAAGAAGTATTTACAGTGGAAACCAGTAGGACTCCAGGAAATCAGAGCAGGGGGGTACACCAGCAAGTGCTGGATGAGGTACATATAACCAAGGAGGAGGTGAAGAAGCTGCTCTGCGAACTTGACACCTCAAAGGCGGTGGGACCAGACAACATCTCTCCGTGGGTCTTTGAAGAGGGAGCAGATACATTGTGTGTACCATTAACAAAGATCTTCAACACATCATTTGAAACTGGGCAACTCCCCGAGGTATGGAAGATGGCAAATGTAGTCCCAATTTTTAAAAAGGGAGACAGACATGAGGCACTAAACTACAGACCTGTATCACTAACGTGTATAGTATGCAAGGTCATGGAGAAGATCATCAGGAGGAGCGTGGTGGAGCACCTGGAAAGAAACAAGTGTATAATTGACAACCAACACGGTTTCAGGGGGGGAAAATCCTGTGTCACAAACCTACTAGAGTTTCATGACAAGGTGACAAAAGTAAGACAAGAGAGAGAGGGGTGGATCGACTGCGTTTTTTTTGGACTGCAAGAAGGCCTTCGACACAGTTCCTCACAAGAGGTTACTGCAAAAGCTAGAGGATTAGGCACACAACAGGAAAGGCACTGCAATGGATCAGAGAATACCTGACAGGGAGGCAACAACGAGTCATGGTACGTGACGAGGTGTCAGATTGGGCGCCTGTGACAAGCGGGGTTCCACAGGGGTCATTCTTAGGACCTGTGCTGTTCTTGGTATATGTGAATGACATAACGGAAGGGATAGACTCAGAAGTGTCCTTGTTTGCGGATGATGTGAAGCTAATGAGAAGAATCAAATCGGATGAGGATCAGGCAGGACTACAAAGAGACCTGGACAGGCTACAAGCCTGGTCCAGCAACTGGCTCCTTGAGTTTAACCCTGCCAAATGCAAAGTCATGAAGATTGGGGAAGGGCAAAGAAGACCGCAGACACAAGGTTTGCAGACAAAGTCTGCAAACCTCACTCAAGAAAAAAGATCTGGGGGTGAGTATAACACCGAGCATATCTCCTGAGGTGCACATCAATCAGATAACTGCTGCCGCATACGGGCGCCTGGCAAACCTACGGATAGCGTTCTGATACCTCAGTAAGGATTCGTTCAAGACTCTGTATACCATTTACGTCAGGCCCATACTGGAGTATGCAGCACCAGTTTGGAATCCACACCTAGTCAAGGACGTCAAGAAATTAGAGAAAGTGCAAAGGTTTGCAACAAGACTAGTCCCAGAGCTACGGGGATTGTCCTACGAAGAAAGGTTGAGGGAAATCGGCCTGACAACACTGGAGGCCAGGAGGGTCAGGGGAGACATGATAGCGACATATAAAATACTGTGCGGAATAGACGAGATGGACAAAGACGGGATGTTCCAGAGATGGGACACAGACACAAGAGGTCACAATTGGAAGTTGAAGACTCAGATAAATCAAAGGGATGTTAGGAAGTATTTCTTCAGTCATAGAGTAGTCAGGCGTGGAATAGCCTAGAAAGTGACTTAGTGGAGGCGGGAGCCATACATAGTTTTAAGGTGAGGTATGATAAAGCTCATGGGGCAGGGAGAGAGAGGACCTAGTAGCAATCAGCGAAGAGGCAGGGCCGGGAGCTGTGGCTCGACCCCTGCAACCGCAAATAGGTGAGGGAGTACACACACACACACACACACACACACACACACACACATTTCTTCAGTCACTGAGTAGTCAAGTCGTGGAATAGCCTAGAAAGTGACGTACTGGAGGCGGGAACCATACATAGTTTTAAGGCGAGGTATGATAAAGCTCATGGAGCAGGGAGAGAGAGGACCTAGTGGGAATCAGTGAAGAGGCGGGGCCAGGAGCTATGACTCGGCCCCTGCAACCACAAATAGGTGAGTACAAATAGGTGAGTACACACACACACACACACGGACGCGCGCGCGCGCAGCGTTAAATTACAGACCAGTGTCACTGACTTGTATACTATGTAAAGTTGTGGAAAAGATTATCAGGAGAAGAGTGGTGGAACACATTGAAAAGACTTGGCTCATACATGACAGTCAGCATGGCTTCAGAGATGGGAAATCCTTTCTCACAAATCTACTTGAGTTCTACAGTAAGGTAACAAGTAAAACAGGAGAGAGGGATGAGTAGACTGCATCTTTTTAGACTGCAAGACGGCTTTTGACACAGTACCACATAAAAGACTGGTGCACAAATTAGAGGAGCAGGCAGGAATAACGGGGAAAGTACTGCAATGAATCAGGGAATACCTGACAGGAAGGAAACAACGTGTGTTGGTGCGTGCTGAAGTGTCGGAGTGGGCGAATGTGTCGAGTGGGGTTCCACAAGGTTCAGTCCTAGGCCCGGTGCTGTTTCTTTGTATACGTGAATGACATGGTGGAAGGAATAGATTCAGAAGTGTCACTGTTCGCTGATGATGTGAAACTGATGAGGAGAATACAAGTGGGCGAGGATCAGTTAAGATCAGAAGGGGATCTGGACAGACTACAAGTATGGTCCGACAAATGACCCCTTGAGTTTAACCCCAGTAAGTGTAAGGTCATGAAGATTGGGGAAGGACACAGAAGACCGCAGACTGAGTAGAGGTTAGGAAATCAAAAGCTGCAAGCGTTAATTAAAGAAAAGGATCTTGGGGGTAAGCATTATAACGAACATGTCCCAAGAGGCACATATCAATCAAATAACTGCTGCAGCATATGGGAAATTGGCAAACCTGAGATTGGCGTTTAGACATCTGAGTAAGGAGTCATTCATGACATTGTACACCGTGTACGTAAGGCCTATACTGGAATATGCAGCGCCAGTATGGAACCCTCACTTAGTCAAACACGTCACGAAATTGGAGAAAGTGCAAAAATTTGCAACACGATTAGTCCCGGAACTGAGGGGCATGTAATATGAGGAGAGGTTAAGGAACTCAACCTGATGACACTAAAGGATAGGAGGGACAGAGGGGACATGATAACAACCTATAATATACTGAGAGGCATTGACAAGGTGGATAGGGATCGAATGTTTCAGAGAAGGGATACAGAAACAAGGGGACACAATTGGAAGCTGAAAACCCAGATGAGTCATAGGGATGTTAGAAAGTATTTCTTTAGTCTTAGAGTTGTCAGAAAGTGGAATAATCTGGAGAGTGAAATAGTGGAAGCAAGTTCCATAAATAACTTTAAGAAGAGGTATGATAAAGATCATGGAGCAGGGAGAGAGTGAATTAGTATCGACCAGTACAGAGGCGGGGCCAGGAGCTATGACTCGACCCTTACAACCACATATAGTTGAGTACATATATGAGTACACACTGTTACGTCCTGTTAAAGACAGTCTCAGTAACCTTAGATCAAACAATTAATGATAATACTAGACAAGAGGACAACTGACAAGTATTTTAAAATAAGTAATGATCTTCCAATTACAGCAATATGAAGGAGACAGGAAAACGATACACTAGTTTATATGAAAAAAAATTGTGAAAATCATATTGAGTAGATAAATAAATGACGGTACAAAGTCACTTAAAGAAAGTGAAAGTTTAGATTCCACAATGTTTCACTCACATGTTAGGTTAACTAAGTCAGTTTCTTGATAAACTATTTTTAGCAAAATTACTTCTGCTTAATACGTATGTCTAGGCAAATACACAAAATAATAAATACAAATCACTAAATCGTTATAATTCTGCTGAAATTATATCACAGAGTAAGTGATGATCAAAGTATTTTCTTCTGTGACTCATCTCTCACAGAACGAAAACAACTGTGTAAGAAAAATAATTACATTATGCTCTTAAACTGAAATATAATCTTTTACTGCTTTATATACTGAAAAATTACTGAATTCCATTTTTCCTTCTAGCTTCAAGGTTTCTGAGTCGAAAGCATTTGGCGATGAAATGAATGGAAGCTTCACGGGTTTGATTGGCCATCTTCAGCGTGAAGAGGCGGATTTCTGCACTATAGTGACACCTACATCAGGACGACTTAAGGTGACTGACTTTGCAAGGGTTTATCCTGGCGATTTATTTGTTTTAGTTTCTTTGAAGCCTTCTGTGCTGCCCGAACACCTCGCCGTAGTCAGACCCTTCAGAAGTAAGTCTTACTGTTTTTCTCTCTTTTACTAACGTCAAGAGGAATACTTTGACGTTTCTTTGTTATAATCAATATATGAATCATAATAATCGTAGTTAGTCTAGGGAAAAGGACACTTTTTTCAGTTTCGACATTTATTAAAGGAAACGTTTTGCAATGACATTTAACGTTTCCTTTAATAAAAGTCTTCAACAGTATGTAAATGTATTTTCCCTTATAATGATAATATTTACTGTTAAAACAATCATTTTCAGACTGATCTTTCTGTCTCAATAGAACATTTGTTACTTGCCTCCTACAGGCGAGCTTTGGCTGGCACTGCTGGTAAGTGTGGTGGCGTGGGGCGTGGCGCTATGGATCCTGCAGAGAGCTTGGAGCTGGGCAGCTGGAGAGAGAAGCATCAATTTCATGGCTGCATTTCTTTATGGCTGGGGCGCACTCCTCAACACTCCGCCATCAGACCCCTCTATCAATAATGCAGGAAGAGTAAAAGCTGTTCTTATTCTTTCATTAATATCTGAGTTGATATAATAACACACACAAAACATGACAAGTGCCTGTGACAACAACAACAAGTAAAACACACACACACACACACACACACACACGCACACACACACACACACACACAATGTGTGTCCAGTGCGACGAGTGTCACTGACGTTTATAGTATGCAAAGTTATTGAGAAGATTATCAGGAGGAGAGTGGTGGAGAACCCAGAGCTGAACAAGCTTTTAAACAACAACCAGCACTGAAGGAAATTCCTGTGTCACAATCCTACAGGAGTTTTGTGACGAGGTAACAGAAGTAAGATACAAGAGAGAGGGGTGAATAGATTACATTTTCTTGGACTGCAAGAAGGTCGTCGACACAGTTACTCACAAGAGATCAGTGCATAACTAAGAGAATCAGGCACGCATAACAGCAAGGGCACTGCAATTTATCAGCAAATATCTGGCAGGGAGGCAGTAACGAATCATGGAACATGACGAGGTGTCATAGTGGGAACCTGTGACGAACGGGGCTCCACAGTGGTAAGTTCTCGGACCAGTGCTATTTTTAGTATATGTGAATGATATGACGCAAGGGATAGTCTCAAAATTGTCCCTGTTTGCAGATGATGTCAAGATAATGAGGAGAATTAAATCGGATGTGGATCAGGCAGGACAGCAAAGAGACATGGACAGGATGCAAGCCTGGTCCAACAACTGGCTCCTAGAATTTAACCCTGTTCAAGACCCTGTACATTGTGTACGTTAGGCCTATATTGGAGTATGCAGCATCAGTTTGGAACCCACACCTAGCCAAACACGTTAGGAAACTAGAACAAAAAATGCATAGGATTGCAACAAGACTAGTAGCGGAGCTAAGGGGTATGTCCTATGAGGAGAGTTTAAGGGAATTCTACCTGATGACAGTGGAGGACAGGAGAGATAGGGGGGGATACGATAACGATATATAAAATACTGAGAGGAATAGACAAGATGGACAGAGACAGAATGTTCCAGAGATGGTGCACAGCAACAAGGGGGTCACAGTTTGAAGTTGAAGACTCAGATGAGTCAAAGGGATGTTAGGAAGTATTTCTTCAGTCATAGAGTTGTCAGGAAGTGGAATAGTCTAGCAAGTGATGTAGCGGAGGCAGGAACCTTACATAGCTTTAAGACGAGGTAATGATAAAGCTCACGGAGCAGGGCGAGAAAGGACCTAGTAGCGATCAGTGAAAGGGGGGAGCCAGGAGCTGAGTCTCGACCCCTGCAACCACTGTTAGGTGAGTACACACACACACACACACACACACACACACACACACACACACACACAAACACACACACACACACACACACACACACACACACACACACACACACACACGCAAACACACACGCATTTTCTTGGACTGCAAGAAGGCCTTCGACACAGTTCCTCACAAGAGATTAGTGCAGAAACAAGAGGATCAGGCGCGTATAACGGGAAGGGAACTGCAATGGATCAGAGAATACCTTAAAGGGAGGCAACAACGAGTCATAGGACGGGATGAGGTATCACAGTGGGCATCTGTGACGAGCGGGGTCCCACAGGGGTCTGTCCTAGGACCAGTGCTATTTTTGGTATATGTGAATGAAAAGATGGAAAGGATAGACTCAGAGGTGTCCCTGTTCGCAGATGATGTGAAGTTAATGAGGAGAATTAAATCAGATGAGGATCAGGCACGACTTCAAAGAGACCTGGACAGGCTGGACATTTTTTCCAGCAACTGGCTTCTCGAATTCAACCCTGCCAAACGCAAAGTCATGAAGATCATAGAAGGGCGAAGAGGACCGCATACAGAGAATAGGCTAGTTGGCCAAAGACTGGAAACATCGCTCAAGGAGAAAGTTCTTGGGGTGAACATAGCACCGAGCACGTCTCCGGAAGCACACATCAACCAGATAACTGCTGCAGCGTATGGGCTCCTGGCAAACCTGAGATTACAGTTCTGATACCTAAGCAAGGAATCTTTCAAGACATTGTCTACCGTGTACGTCAGGCCCATACTGGAGTATGCAGCACCAGTCTGGAACCCACACCTGATCAAGCACGTCAAGAAGTTAGAGAAAGTACAAAGGTTTGCAACAAGGCTAGTCCCAGAGCTCAAGGGAATGTCGTACGAGGAAGGGTCTGGAGTATGCAGCACCAGTTTGGAACACGCACCGGGTCAAACACGTTAAGAAATTAGATAAAGTGCTAAGGTCTGCCGACAAGGTTAGTTCCAGAGCTCAGGGGAATGTCCTGCGAAGAAAGGTTAAGGGAAATCGGCCTGACGACACTGGTGGACAGGAGGGTTAGGGGACACATGATTACGACAAGGTGGACAGAGAGATGTTCCAGAGAGGGGACACAGAAACTAGGGGTCACTCTTGGAAGTTGAAGACTCAGATGAGTCACAGGGATGTTAGGAAGTATTTCTTCAGTCATAAAGTAGTCAGGAAGTGGAATAGTCTAGCAAATGCGATAGTGGAGGCAGGAACCATACATAGGTTTTAGATGAGGTATGATAAAGCTCATGGAGCAGGGAGAGATAGGACCTAGTAGGGTTCAGTAAAGAAGCGGGGCCAGGAGCTGAGTCTCGACCCCTGCAACCACAATTAGGTGAGTACAATTAGGTCAGTACACACACACACACACACACACACACACACACGCACACACACACACACACATACACACACACACACATACACACAGGAGCTCGGACTCGACCCCCGCAACCTCAACTAGGTGAGTACAACTAGGTGAGTACACACACACACACACACACACACACACACACACACACACACACACACACAAACAAACTTTCACACACACAAACACACACACACACATACACACACACAAAGTAGCAGTATACAAAGTAGCAGTATACAAGTGATAAGTGTGGTAAATGAGGACTCAAAAGGGCAACGAGATAAGAATAGCGAAGAAGCCAGCGGCGGAAGGGCGAGGTGCACGAGTCATCGTACAGCAAGCATCGTACAGCGAGCATCGTACATCAGGCATCTGGATGGACGTCCCCTCTGACCAGTAACGTACAAATCACCTGTTTTGTGGTTGGCGGGGAGTCTGAGTGATAGAGCCGGCCCAGCGGTCACTGGTAACTCGATATCTAAACCCTGCTCCAGAGCGATTATCATACACACAACACCTAGCAGTAGTAGGAAGATAAACTTTGTAGGAGTAAGGATTAAGCAGGAGGATTAAGTCGTGGCTAATGGGACTACAGCCCTGACAACAGTTTCGAGAGATAATGGTCTAGGACACAAAGACAGTACAATCTGAGAAGCAAGTACTGGGTACACATGTAGTAACTAGGTGAAAGAATGACTTGTTAACACACGCTAGTATTATAATTATTAGAACTACTTTCAGTGTTAATGGTATCTCATTAGTATTACGGATACACAGAAGTGAATTGTATTTCTGGGACATATAAACAACTGACGTGCTCACACACACACACACGCGCGCACACACATACACACTCGGGGCCAGGAGATGGGTCTCGACCCCTGAAACCACAACTAGGTGAGTACACACAGCTGATCCTTGGAATTTGACCGCCTCCCCCACAGACCTCTTACCTTTCCCCTCCCTCGCGTTTCTCCCTCTCAATACCCTCTTTCCCTCCTTTCTCCCTCTCTCTTTCTCTCCCTCTCCCTCTCTTTCTCCCTCTCTCTACCCTTTCTCTCCCCCTCACATTTCTCTCTCTCCCCCTTGGTCTTATCCCTCACCCCCATACTCTCTCCTCTCTCTCCCTCTTTCTACCCTTTCTCTCTCCTCTCTCTCCCTCTTTCTACCCTTTCTCTCTCTCCCCCACACCCTCTCCCTCCTCTACACATGTAGTAAAAGGTAGTAACAAACGGGGTGAAAGAATGACTTGTTAACACACGCTAGTATTATAATTAGAACTACTCTCAGTGTTAGTGGTATCTCATTAGTATTACGGATACACAGAAGTGAATTGTATTTCTGGGACATATAAACAACTGACGTGCTCACACACACACACACGCACGCACACACATACACACTCGGGGCCAGGAGCTGGGTCTCGACCCCGAAACCACAACTAGGTGAGTACACACAGCTGATCCTTGGAATTTGACTGCCTCCCCCACAGACCTCTTACCTTTTCCCTCCCTCGCGTTTCTCTCTCTCATAGCCTTCTTCCCTCCTTTCTCCCTCTCTCTCTCTTTCTCTCCCTCTCCCTCTCCCTCTCTTTCTCCCTCTCTCTACCCTTTCTCTCCCCCCTCACATTTCTCTCCCTCCCCCTTGGTCTTATCCCTCACCCCCATACTCTCTCCTCTCTCTCCCTCTTTCTACCCTTTCTCTCTCCTCTCTCTCCCTCTTTCTACCCTCTCTCTCTCTCCCCCACACCCTCTCCCTCCTCTAGCCTTCTGTCTGTGGTAATAAAAAGTAAAAAAAAAAAAAAAAAAAAATGGGTGGCCTTAGAGGACGGAAACCCAGAGATCTGGTGGACGAACCAGGGAGGAAAGACTGGGAGCTAGAGCTCCAAAAAAGGGAGGAAGAGTGGGGAAGGAAGATAGTAGAGCTTGGTAAGAAAATGGAGGAGCGGATAGCTGAAGAGTGCAGGAAGTGGGAAGTACAGGTCTTAGCAGCAGAAGCTAGGATACAGTGCTTAGAAGAGAAACTGCAAAGCCTGAAACAGATTAGAGAGACAAATGACAATTCAGGTGTGACATCAGGAAATTCAAAGTCAGGCACAGACAAGGGGATGGTAAGCAACAACGGAGACATGCCGAACATGAAGGCCCTATCAGACCCACGTGGGGCCAGGGAAAAGACGACGAGCACACTAAGATCAAACGACAGGTCCGAAGACAATGAAGGTATGCTATATGCAGAGATTCTAACAGCCAACTGCAGTAGCAAGGGACAGCTGGTCAGGAAAGACAGTCCACTGAGAATAGAAGTTTCAGAT